AAATTATTATATAAGGAAATACATATGCATTAATTAGCTCAATGCATCCACTGCACAATGTGTATGTATCTTAAGACATCATGTTGTACATTAATATATAAAATTTTTCCAGTTAAATAAAAAATATTTTAAAAATAATATTTACATCAATATACCTCTAAAATATATACTTTACCAAATATTTATACCTTTATGGCATATACTGAAATTATCACCTAATTTCTCTTTTGGGGCCTCCAACATATTATGCTATCCATTCCCAAATATCAGTTGTCAGTTTGCTTCAGTTACTTTCAGTATACCCTAGTTCATTCTTACATATTTAAAAAACGTGTCCATTTACTTTATGTTAGTTTGATTGGAACTTTAGACGACTTTTTTAAGGGTTAAGATTTGTCTTTTTTTTTAATCTTCTTTTAGAAATTATGTATATGAGTGTTTTGCCTGCTTCTGTGTAAGTGCACCCATGTATGCAACGCCCACGGAAGACAGAAGAAGGTGTTGGATCCTCTGGAACTGGAGTCATGGATAGTTGTTAGCTGCCATGTGGTTGCTGAAAACTGAACCTGGGTCTTCTGCAAGAGCAGCCAGTGCTCTTAACTGCTGAACTATCTTTCTAGCTCCAGTACAGATTTCTTTATTCATAGAACTAGTCAATGTTAGCTCTCTGCTCATATCTGAACATTTACAAAAACATTCAAACACCCTTCCATTGCCAGTACCACAGATGCTACTTTGTCTCGACACAGATGTAATGCACAAAATTAAACTTCAACTCTGAGTTGGCTGCATTTAGCTGGGTAAAGATTTCCTGCAAGACAGATTTGCTTTCTTCCTGAAATTTTATCTTACCTATTCACAGAAAAGCAATATGATTTATACAGACAAATGACCAACTGTCTTTCACCCCACTTGATCCCATTCTTGACCCATTACTTCCAATTCTTGTTTTTATATGCCCCAAATTTCAGTTTTAAAGAGACTAAGAGATAGTAATTTTTTGGAAAGAAAAGAGTAAGATGGCTATTCTTAGACTTCATTTCACTTTTCAAACTGGTCTTTATCATGTGACATCCTGGAGAAGTTGTATGCGCACTTGCCATAGCTGACTGCAGACTCTCTGACTTTCTTGTTTTCTGGCTACTATACTTGGAGTGACACACCTATTCCTTGGGGTCAAATGTTTTGTTCTGTTTTATTTAATTTTTAGTTACATTTTATTTTTTATTTGTGTGTGTATGTATGTGTGTGTGTGTGTGTGTGTGTGTGTGTGTATGTGAACTCACATGTATTATGTAGCAGTCAGAGGACAGGAGATGGTTCTATTCTTCTACCATGTTAGTTTTGGGAATTGAACTCAGGTCCTGAGACTTTGCAGCAAGCACCTTTACTCACTGAGCCATCTCATCAGTCTCAAATATTTTTGAAATATGTTATAATTTATTCCCTAGCTCCTCAGCAGCCTGAAGATTTAATGGTAATTTTTTAAATTTTTATTATTTTTATTTTATGTGCTTTCTTTCTTTCTTTCTTTCTTTCTTTCTTTCTTTCTTTCTTTCTTTCTTTCTTTCTTTCTTTCTTTCTTTCTTTCTTTCTTTCTTTCTTTCTTTCTTTCTTTCTTTCTTTCTTTCTTTCTTTCTTTCTTTCTTTCTTTCTTTCTTTCTTTCTTTCTTTCTTTCTTTCTTTCTTTCTTTCTTTCTTTCTTTCTTTCTTTCTTTCTTTCTTTCTTTCTTTCTTTCTTTCTTTCTTTCTTTCTTTCTTTCTTTCTTTCTTTCTTTCTTTCTTTCTTTCTTTCTTTCTTTCTTTCTTTCTTTCTTTCTTTCTTTCTTTCTCTTTTTTTGAGACTGGGTTTCCCTGTAGCCCCAGGTGTCCTGGAACTCACTATGTAGACCAGGCTGGCCTTGAACTCACCGAGATCTGCCTGGCTCTGCCTCCTAAGTGCTGGGATTAAAGGCATGTGCCACCATGCCTGGCTAAAAGAGCTATTTTTTAAAAAAATATGGACTTCTTTAGAAATAAGATATGTTGTTATATTTACATCTTGGGAGAAAATGTAAATTTATCAAAAATTATGATCCTTCGGAAGACTGGTGTTATACTCAGTGCCTTTTAAAATGTATGACTATACTTCTATATTTGCAAAAGAATTAATTACATTTCTATGTGACTCTTTTTTGGGTTGGTTGGTTGGTTTGTAAAGTGGCTGTCACCTGGGACATTTGTGCTTCTTGCTGTTTCCTAATCTCTACAGTGATCCTTGCTCTCAGTAACAACGGGAGGTATTTTACTTTCCTCCCCTATACACGAAACTAATACAGAAATGAGCCTTTGAAACAGAGATGTATGAGTGACCTTAAATTATTCAGGATCTTTATTACTAATGAATGCACTCCACCAAGCTCTTAAAAATGGTACAGCCTCAAATCCTACTGTTGGCATTCAAGTGCTGGGAAGTTAGAAGGGGAAATCAACTCTACATGAGCATCCACACCTGGGAATTTGATTTTCCTCACCTCCTTCTTCCAGAATAGCTGAGCCATTTCCATAGAGTGTTTGACTAAATTGCTTCTTCAGGGAAACTAAGGTAAGGAGCTGTCCACTGCTGCTTCTCCAGCTATCGAAGGTGGATGGGAGACCACATTTCCACACCTGAGGAGGTCCACCTGGGACCTCAGGGGAGTGTGCAAGGGCACTCCTACACCAAGGGAAGTGCTAACCTGGTTTCTCTCGCAACTTTTCAAAACAGATATTACTTGAATATCTTCAGAAACTTCCTAGGTTTGAGTGAGTCTCCAGTCGCCACTATTGCCACCATTTTAATTAATTAATTAATTAATTAATTGTCTTATTTTGAGACAGCATCTCATGTAGATCAGGCTGGTTATGTAGCCAAAGACCTCGAATTTCCCATCCTCCTGCTTCCACTACCCACATGCTAGCTTTACAGGAATGCATCACTCTCTTCCCAGCTTATGAGGTGCTGGGGATCAAACCCAGGGCTTGTATATGCTAGCAAGCACTTTACCAACTGAGCTGCATGCCCAGTCTAATATATACATATGAGTATATATAATTGAGTACATATAATTGAATTTTTGTGTTTCATACACAACATCTTAATTATCTTGATACCCCCCATCGTCACTCTCCCATACCCCCTATTAGATTTCCTGCATCCTGCCTATTGAATCGTTAGTGTCCCCTGACATCTCTCAGTACAAGTTCATCTACTGGAGCCTGGTCAGTCTATCTAGAATCCCTTAAAGATCAGCTCTTTCTCACCCAGTAGTAATCAGCTGCCCAACAGTTTTTTGGGTAAGATTTTGGCCACAATATTTTTATTATTTTTTAAAATATTTTATTATTTGTATTTTTATGTGTATGAGTGTTATGCCTGCATGCAGGTAAGTGCACCCATATCATGCAATGCCCACGGAGGACAGAAGAGGCTGTCAGATCCCCTGGAACTGGAGTTACAGACAGTTGTTAGCTGCCATGTGGGTGCTGGGATTTGAACCCAGGTCTTCTGCAAGAACAGTCAGTGTTCTTAACTGCTGAGCCATCTCTCCAGCCCAACACAATATTTTTAAAGAATCAATGGAATCAGGTTTTGCTTTATTTTTCTCTATTCAAAATGATTCATGTTAACTCATTCAATTGCTAGAAGAGGGGGGACTATTATTTAAATTGAATTATCATGTCCCTTTTAAAACAGTATTCAATGACCTGTGTTAATGAATGTTTTTTCTTGGAACTGCATAAGTCTTCTTACAGCATAATATTTTTTGAAAGAATATAGTTTGAGGGGCTGGAGAGATAGCTCAGTGGTGAAGAACACTGACTATTCTTGCAGAAGACTTGGGTTCAAATCCCAGCACCCACATGGCAGCAAACAACTGTCTATAACTCCAGTTCCAGGGGATTGACAGCCTTTTCTGACCTCCGTGGGCATTGCACGACATGGGTGCACTTACTTATTTGCAGGCAATACACACATAGACATAAAATAAAAATAATAAATAAGCCAGGCATGGTGGCACACGCCTTTAGTCCCAGCACTCGGGAGGCAGAAGAAGTCAGATCTCTGTGAGTTGAAGGCCAGCCTGGTCTACATAGTGAGTTCAGGTCAGCTGGGACTACAGGGAAACCCTGTCTCAAAAAAAGACAAATTAATAATA